AAATAATGGAAACTGTGTAGATCAAAACACAGCTAAGTATAATAAAGGGAAACACGGAGAATTCAGGATAGTGATAAGGGGACCAATTTAGGATCCCCCAAAACGAAAATTTACAGGGATGAGAAATCTGGTTGTGGGGCAGGATAAAGAGAAGGAATTGTCAATGTCCCTATTTCCATGTCTCTAAATTAAACAGTGTTGCAAAGTGTCTGGGCTCAGAGGCAGGGCCTCTCCCGGGAGACCAGCTATGCAGCTGATTCATTTTCAGGGCTGTCCAGTGCACTCCTGCAGGGTGCATCCTGAGGACCGTAACTTTCCAGAGAAAGGGCTTTATTTTTTCTTTTTAAAATAATTGGTACAAAATTGCCATATGGAATTGTGGCAGCTGTATCTCGCAGATCCAATTGTTCATCTCCAGCCTTTCAATGTTTGTTTGGAATGTCTTTTATACCCATCTGTAATTCCTTATCCATTTTCACGAGTCCTTCACTTCAAGCCTCTGTTTGGAGAACATTTTAAATATTTCCCTGACTGTAGGTCCTCTTCTCTATCAAAAAAGTGAGACTTTTAAGAGCCAAGGGTAGGGGGGTTGCCTTAGGAAAGCTAGCCAGCTGTGTTTCGAAAGCATCCCCTGGGTGATTTTGTAGGCTCAGACATCTGGTTCCATCGGTGTAGCCCAAATAGATTTATCTCATCAGAGGGCCCATAGGACTTTAATTTAACATCAGAATGCCAGTTCTGTAATTCGAAATAATTGATGAAGCTGGTCCATGTACCGGAAACCCTGTATCAACATCAATAAATCACCCTCAGAGGGCTACTCTGATATCCAACGCTTCTGTTACTTAAGGCGAAACTCTTCTTGCCTGAGACAGTTCTGTGGACCCTTGGTGTCCCCAGGGAATACAATCTGAATGACAATGATCCAGTCTAAGCGTCTTATGTCACAGATCACACATCTGTGTAACGTGCAAAGAAGTATAAGCAAGTGGACACTCATTGTCCCCGATTTCACAGAGCTATGGGTTATGGCTCCATTTGACATCATTATACACCAGAAGCATATTACCTAGTATGAAAATAGACAAATCTGTAATGAAAAGCAGTGTTTTGTAATGAAGGTACACTTTTAAAGTTTTATTTTGGTCTGACTTACTATTCAGAAAACAGTAGTTGCTTAACAAATGCCTATTCACTAACATATTTATTCCAGTTTGACCCAAAGATCTGGCTTTTCTTCCCTGCCAATTCCTTTGCATGTGTCAATATCGGTCAATATACTTGATGCCTGCCAAAGCAGAATTGCCTAAAATCATTGAAAATAAGTTCATCCACAATTCTGGTATTCAGTTAGAAGGCCTGGATTTGGGTTGCAATTACACTACTCCCTGTGTGCAGCAAATCACTAAAAGATTTGAAGACTCGGTTTTTAATTCATAAAGAAGAGTAAAAGGAGCTATTTCCCAAGACCTGGAATTACCAGGATTGTAAAGTTGAAAGGTACCTAAGTGTATGGTTTTGTAAATTTTTTTTTTTTTTTTTTGAGACGGAGTCTTGCTCTGTCGCCCAGGCTGGAGTGCAGTGGCCGGATCTCAGCTCACTGCAAGCTCCACCTCCCGGGTTTACACCATTCTCCTGCCTCAGCCTCCCGAGTAGCTGGGACTACAGGCACCCGCCACCTCGCCCGGCTAGTTTTTTTTTTGTATTTTTTTAGTAGAGACGGGGTTTCACTGGGTTAGCCAGGATGGTCTCGATCTCCTGACTGGTTTTGTAAATTTTAAGGGATAAACAAATATTGTGTGTACCCATTTCTAAAAATGTTAGGGTTTTTTATTAAGCTATATATTTTACTCTCTGTTGACATTTTCTAATCTCATGTATATGCATTAATTATGGATCTGAAACCTTTAAATACTAATGTGTCCTTAAGTCATGCAATTAACTAGGAAGAGGCAATTACAAAAGTCTTTTGAAAATAGTTGAAAGTGTCTTTACACAGTCTTAAGTGTTAATAACTCGCATAAAATATTTTATATAACCAGTTATCATTTCTGATACATCTTTTTGGGATAAATATTTGATTCAGGTATTTGATCACCTTGGGGAGCTGGGGATTTCTTAGGCTTAATTACTTATATTTAAACCTAACAATTTAATGTGAGGTGAATACTATTTTGATTATATAGCTATCAGCACCACCAATTTTCTATTACAAATATATTTTCCCATCAGACAGTATGTTCCAACTCGAAGATAATCTTGCAAAGGAGACCTGAGGAGTGTCTGGGTTTTGTAGGTGGAACCAAAAAGGTGAAACAGGGAGAACAAGAAAATTACCCCTGTCAAATTGATTACAATAAGAGCCAAGTTCCAGTCCTCTCCAATATTTCTTTCTCCTATTTATAGAACATTTGTGCTACTATGTAATCAAAAATGTCCATAGAATTGAAAGGTGCCCTTAAACGGATAGATCGATTCAAGATTTTACAAAGCTATTCAGTGAAGTGGGAGTGATAGCAAAACATCCTAAAGTGATGCTGGATGCCTGTGAACAATAGAGTCACAGCATCCACATGGGGTCCAGGCAGGGCTGAGCCTTGCCCACTGACACAGGCCTTGGGTGAGGGAAGGTGGACATAATCATGGAACAAGCCGACCACCTCTAGTTTCCATCCAGTCACACGGCTCTGGAGCACATGGACCTTCCTAACTGCCACCGGGACAACAAAAGAGGCTTCAGAGTTATGGAAACAGTTCAGTATCCCTACATCGATTCCAAGCCCCTGAGACTCCAGTATGCGTACATCTTTTCCTGGATACTTTGTGCATCACCGTGAGAAAATGAGACCAAGTGTTTATAAACGAGACATCATTCCTACTGGACATAGTTGGAGGAACATGGGAAACAGTTACTAGGGTTGGAAACGTAACGAGAAATAAAATACAAGCTGAGCACAATGTGTTTTCTGTGAAGCAGCCACGGGAAGGGAAATGGTGAGCTTAGTAAGATCCCAACTTGCAGCAGTGTTGAGGGTGAGGTCACAGGAGAGAGGGAGGAACCCAGGCCAACGTTTTCTGCTCTTTGCCCAGGGAGCCGCAGCAGGGGCAGGATTTGTAAAAGGCAACAAAAACGTGTTCAGTGGCAAGAGAGCTGGAAGAACAACGTAGGTGTGCATGGAACTTCCCCGTAATTAGACAAAATTTAATTTACCCACAGGCTTTTCAAACAGTTTTTCTTCTCAAGTATCTGTGTTCCTCTAAGACTAGTGTAGAGGCAAGGAAGTGGGGATGAAGACATCTAAGTAAGAAAACAAAATACATTGAACATCTCAACAGGGACGAGAAGTGGAAAAAGCAATCACAATAGCATTCATTCCATCTGCAAGCGAAATGGCTTTACAAGAGCTCTTTGAGACATTTCTGAGAGCGAAATCCTGGAAAGTAAAATTCCAGTAAAAATTATAATTACAGGTTGACCTTGTAACATCAATTATCAGTTTATCATGCATAAATGTCAATTCACAGGATTTCTATCGACTCAGTCTTTTCAACAGTATTAGCACAAAAGTCAAAAACTGGTTTTCTCATGATTTTAGCCACACGTATTCTATTTTTTTGCCCAAAGACTTACAATTCTTCACCTGTGATTTTTCCTCCTCAGAGGAATTTGAGGTGATTAATCTTCCTCTTAGGCACCTGGATTAGCTTTGGGTCTATGGGATGATTATTATCTTTTCAAGGCCCTTTTTTGCCCATCTGTCAAATAAAGGTGTCTGTCACTAACATGTTTTTACGCTCAAATCCCCAAACTTTTAAATTTCTAAAGTCATGGTGTTCAGTATCATATGGTTTTTAAATTTATCTGATGAGTGAAGGATTTGACAATTCCATATACTTTAAACATGTTAATTAATTAGTTAATTTTAATTACTTATCCATACCAAATAGCTTTTTCTTTTCCTTCAGAACTAAAAATGCTATAAATGGCAGTTATCATATTGCAAATTCCTGCTTTTGGAACACATCATCTCTTTTATTTCCCTGTTCTTTTGGCTTCTTTGTTTACGTCTTTAAAAACATATTCCACATTGATTTGTTCATACAAACGAGGGCGAGCACCGAAAACTGGGAGCTGCAGGTTCAATCCTGGCTCCACCAACTCTTAAAACTGTTATCTAACTATCGCAAGAACAGGAAACCAAACACTGCACGTTCTCACTCATAGGTGGGAACTGAACAATGAGATCACTTGGACATGGGAAGGGGAACATCACACACTGGGTCCTATTGTGGGAAGGGGGTAGGGGGGAGGGATAGCATTAGGAGATATACCTAATGTAAATGATGAGTTAATGGATGCAGCACACCAACATGGCACATGTATACATATGTAACAAACCTGCACGTTGTGCACATGTACCCTAGAACTTAAAGTATAATAAAGAAAAAAAAAATCCTGGTTATCTTCGGCAAGTATTGAAAGTATTCTTCTTAGTTCTCTCATCTCAAAAATTAGTCGTGAAAAGAAAATAATTTACTACATACAGTTGTTATGTGTGTGTGCTTATACATATATATATGATTAAATGTATAAAAATATATATATGCGTGTGTCATTCAAAGTCTATTACCTCCAGTTACCTCAAACATTTCTTCTAAATCCTTCATATATAAGCACATGAATTTTTATCATTGTGTACTATATACACTATACCACAATCAATATATTTAAGCCCATCAGATCTAAAATGTTTTATGTTTCCTTTTCAGGTCCAACTATTTTGTTATTAAAATTAATATTTCCAAGTAGATAAATGTCAAGCAACTACTGGTAATGTGTCTAACTATACAAACCAGTCAACAGAGTACAGAATTAAACTGCAATCCAAAAGACAGTAGGCAGCCAGAACAAAATCAATATTTAAAACTTAACATAAGTCAGGTATCAGATGTGTCCTGACAAAATGAAAAAGAATGTGCTTAAGTCGTACGTTACTTACTGGTATAGGTGAGTTGAAAACCTTGGTCGGTGTCAGATCCATTGGTGTTGAACTCCAGCCACAGGTGATTGGACGTGCTGTTTAGGATCAGCCTCAGTAGTTCATTTTTAGTGAAGGTGCCCAGTGGACGTGAGGAACTGTCTTTTCCATCGTAGACCTGACGAAAATCACAGCATGAGTCTCTCTATGCCTTCATTGGATTCTTATGTTAGCAATGTTAATAAGACATCCAAATCTTCAAAGACGCTGTTTTATACGATACTTACAAAAGGCATATAGTGTATAGAAAGATAAATGAAGGACTTAGTGCTAAATCATATTCGTTCTTTAAGTTTTATCTTTACCATTAACATTAGAGGCAAAAGATCCCATTCTTGTTCAGATCATTTCATATTCATTACTTTAAGAGCTCTTTCTGTGTTTACTTAAAATTAAATAAATATTTCTTTACGTTTCCAGGTTTCACTACCTATCTGTTTATTCCTTTTCTCATAGTTCAGTTATAAAAGTGGGAAAGATTTATAATATTTTAGTCTTGAATATCTCCTCCGAACTCTCAACTAAGTCAAAGACCATACCCTTCCCTTCTGTTCCCTTCTGTCTGGATGCATTAAAGGACAACACGGTGTGCCGGAATCTTGTCACATTCTGTAGTCTGCAAGCCTGAGGTGGCTTTCATCTTGAATTTGTAATAACAGAAGTATCTCATCATGTAATAGTAACACAGAAGTGTGATGTTGCTTACAGTGCTCTGTATGTGACATTATCTTCCCAAGGGGTTGTAAAACAAGAGTAGATACAATAAGTATGTGGAATATAAAGAAGACATGGCTTAGTTTTGACCAGTCGGGAGAGGGAAAGTTCAGTCATGGTTCCCAACTTTTGGGGAGACAGGTCACACGGTGGGGAGTAGTGGGTTGGTGTCACCGCTATATTCTGAATGAGGATCGGGTAAAAGTGTTTCAGCCATGCACTTTCTGCCAATGCCCGGAGGCTCAGGTAACAGAAACAGCACTGACTTTCTGGTAGGACAAATACCTAATGCATGTGGGGCTTAAAACCTAGATGACCGGTTGATAGGTGCAGTCAATCACCGTGGCACTTGTATACCTATATAACAAACCTGCAATTTCTGCACAGGTTAATTCCCAGAGCTTAAAATAAAATAAAAAAGTCAATGCAGCAGTCCTCGCATCCCAATAACAATAGAGCACTAGGTGGGCACAGCTAATCTGCCTGCCTCCCTCACTAGCAGGGGACCATAAAAATAAACATTTATTACATTATATTGGAAAATGCTCAGTTTGTCTTAATAGAAAAATGGAACCCTAACTAAATAAAATTAAACAGAGTCCTAGTAGGCTCTTTCAATGTGTTTATTTTCCCCACTTATTTCCTCTTTATATGGATTAATTCTTCTTTCATTGTCTTTCAATTAATATATAAACCCAGGGATGTACACAGACACACATACTCAGAAAAGGAGAAAATACATTTAGAAAAGATAATTTTGTGGGTAGTTATTTCATTACAACTAAATATGGACATGCTAGTGGGGTAGAATCAGATACCCTTTAATCTCCTTACTAAAAGACTATTGTCCCAGGTCATTGTTTAAAAACCATTATTTGGTTTATTCCATGTTTTTATCAGATGAGCCAGGGTCTGACATCCAGAGACTAAAAGGTTTTAAGTCCAGAGGAGTCTGGGTCAAAGAGAAAATGTGCAGGTCTCCCCAGGAAGGCCTTGGGCTACCCCGTATACCGTGGAATTGTCTGTAATTCACAGAAATCCATGAAGACGGGGAAACACGAAAGAACTCGACACTCCGTGAAGCCGCTGCTCGGTCCTGACACACTGTGAGCTCATCCGCTCTCCTGAATCTTGGCTTCCTCATGAGGACTTGACCAAGTGCACTGTGGATCCCTGACAGATTGTACCTCGCTCCCAGTGGTTTCATGGTTAGAACCACTAAACATAAACAGCTCAAAGGCTTAATCGTAAGATTCTTCAGAACAGGAGTTCTTCCTTCTTTATCCACGTCATCAGCAATTAGCACTGGGTCTAACCACTGACACCCCAGAGAACGAGTATGTCACTGATTAACATGGAGCTTTCCCCTGTCAGTTCTCTAAAGTTAAAATCTGGGTTCAGGTTTTGCACTGATCACAAATAAAAACCCAGATAGGAGTGGAAGTCAGAAGATTTGATTTCTGATCCCAATGGAATGAGGAACAGGCTACACCTGTTCTGTACAACATTTCCTAGTTATATTTTTTCACCTATAAGTAGCTAGATTCAAAGGGTTCTTTTCAGTTATTAGAGAAAGCCTTCTGGATTCACCTGTTTAATACAAGGCTGTAAGTATTTGCACTACAGACCACCCTCCTCAGAGTCTGGCATTTAATCAATGCCATATACTTTAAGGGATGTTGCTGGGTTAGCAGATGATCACAGATCAGAAAACGTCACACAGAATGTTAGCATGACAATACTGAAAGTTCTGGGGAAATCTTTCCCCGTTTAACAGAAACTATACCCTGCAGATTTATTTCCAAAATTAATTGTGTTTTCCACTCTATATTCCTTTCATGACATGTTTCTGAGAGCTCGATATCTCTTATATGATTTTTCCACATGAAGCAAGAATACATCATATTTATTTATGTGTGCAGGAGTTGCGTGAATATAAAATTTTAGTCTTTATTATTACATCGCAGTATGTGCGAGGGATCAATGTGAACAGCATTAGGCTCAAAAATTAAGATAATTTTACTAGAAATGTTTTTAACAGAGATCTTTATTAGCATATTTAACAAAATATATGCCTGCAAAACATGTAGGCATTTTATACGATTGACAGCTTCTCTGTAATTAAATGTGAGAAGCAAGTTTTTTTAAAAAAACTTTTTGTTATAATCAACAACTTTAAATGGCATGCAATCACAAATGAACGTAATTTCCTTCCTTCCATTCCAATAATATTTATCCTTGTATATTTTATGCAGTATCTCTAATCACTCACCTGCACTAAAGTATAGTTAAGAGTTATTTAAAAGTTTGCCTTAAAGGCTTACTGACTTCTAAATTTGAGGTTATTAAAAAATTCAGAAAATGTCTACTTGTGATGTAACTATTTTTTTTTAAGAATGTGCTAGTTTCCGGCCTAAAAACTACTTCTTAATTACAGTCCCTCATACTGCCAGCGTGAGCTTTCAAAAGACTATTAAAATGAAAGAACAACTGGAATAAAACCACTCTGCTAAATGATGACATTGAAATACAGTCAAACGCAGCCTTAGGAGGAAGGAAGGCCCTTTCATCTCCTGACCTGTGCACATAACTTCTAATGAGGTCAAGTGGAGCCCAGCGGGGGCTCCATTCCAGCCATTCTGTAAAGGGAGGACAAACAGGGTTTTCCCTTTTAGTTGACTTTCTGCATATTCTCTTATAATGCTCATAGTTCAAAGTGAGTTGACAGTACTGAATCTAAAATGCATCATTATGTGCATCTAGGTAGATGTAAATTAATTGAAAAACCCCTGCAATTTTAAAAAGGGAATAAAAAGAGCCACGTGTTCCTTTCTTGCCCGAAACCAGGCTTCTGTTCAACGAAATTGCTCACCTCACTGAAATAAGCAGGTGATTGGACGGGTGATTTCTAGCAGGGGTGTCCAATCTTTCGGCTTCCCTGAGCCATGTTGAAAGAACTGTCTTGGGGCACACATAAAATACACTAACACTAACGATAGCTGATGAGCTTTACGAAAATCACAAACACAAACAGTCTCATAGTGTTTTAAATACGTTTACAAATTTGTGTTGGGCCACAGGCAAAGCTGTGTTGGGCCACATGTGGCCTGTGGGCCGCGGGTTGGACGAGATTGTATCACAGCATTAGGTCTTATTGCTTAAATCTTTTCCCTTTCAGTGCCCTGAGGCTAGGCTGCCCATTCTCCAGACCCTAGATCATAGAAGGTTTCCAGTTTATTGAAATACGTACAGGAGAGGTGAAAATTATATCAGAATCTTAGGAGTTAAGGGGCATTTCTGGTTGGAGCTGGGATTTTATAAATCAAGGCAGGACTTGGTTACCCCTGCAATCAATATTGAGATTCTGTCTTGTCCCGGCTTGGGGTCTCCTCATCAGCCCTGTCTGTGATCTGATCACCGTGGCTGGATTTGCCTCTATTATCACTTCAGAACCTTTCCAGCTTTCCACACTATGGCCACATTTAAAAATCAAGATTAACTACAGAAAGGGTTGGTTTGAGGACCCTGCAAGTTTTAATAGTTACAATTATGTGCCAGACACAATGCTAGGAATATCTACTTATGTTATTAGATTAAATCCTCAAGACAGTCCAAAAATGTAGGTATAGCTGTGTTTTCTTACACATAAGGACGCTGAAGATCAAAAGTGTTAAATAACTTACACGAGGTGCTGGACTAATAAATGTTAGATCTAGGTTTATCTACAAGGTTATTTCAAAGTCCACATATACTGTTCTAAGCGAAGTGATATGACACTTCCTCAAAATTATTTGTAAATAAATATAAATAAATCATACATAAAAAGATACATCAATATGTGCATATATCTATATGTAGAAAAACAGACAATATATTTTTTGAGAAGAAAAGTTGGAGTCATCTTGTTGGAGAAGATTCTTTTTACCTTGAGAGTATCTCCTTCAAACAGCTGGAAGCTTCGTGCTCGGAGGTGGATACCCTTGCCGGCTTCTGTTTCTATTTTATAGATACACTCATGGTTATTATCATAATTGGATGGAAAATTTGGAGACAGTAATGTTCCTTCATTTCCTTTGACACTTGCTCCACATTCAGCTAAAATAAATAGGACATCAGAGAAAGAGGATTCAAAAGTGGAATTACTGTTTTTAACAGATTAAAACCTTTAAAATCATGATAGCTTCCTCTTCTATCAATGTATGTCTGTTAATAATATATTATTTTAAAATAGATCAGTGATTTTTAAAAATTGTTTTACCAACTGGACACAAAAAGATACCCCGCTTAGCTCATTTTCAAAAGTGTCTTATTTATTTTAACAGAATGACCTCTGACTATGTGGAAGCAGCATGGTCTCACACAGAGAGTTCTAGAATAAAACAGAGGTGCTCTGGCACCATGGCTGAGGAGCTGTGTCACCAGGTTGTCACAGCACCTCTCCCACTAGCCTCGTTCCTGCCTCATGAAATGTCTCCACCAATTTCCATGCACCCATTCTACCATTGTTTCTCTGCAGTTTTTCTTCACTGGTATCTTATGGCACGAACTGGGACGCATTCAAAGGGGAATCTAACGACAGACCAAACCACTGAGTTATCTTGTCGCAGTCTTCAGGATGTCACAGCCCTGAAGGCCTTAGCATTATGTCTTAGGATGGAAGAACATTCAACGGCAGTAAATATCTGCTTCTCCCCCTTTCCCAATGAAGGAAGAGGATAGTTGACTTCTCGATCTAAATTTATACCAAACAAAATTCCTCTTATCAAGGTCAAAGTGAAAATACATACAACTGTCTACTTTCTGTCAACCTGCGGACAGTCACTTAACTTTTCAGCACCTGTTTCACTGTGAAAGTGAACAGTTTAGGTCAAGAATGCTTCCGAATTTGTGTTGGGCCACAGGCAAAACTGCGTTGGGGCGCATGTGGCCTGTGGGCCGCGGGTTGGACAAGATTGTATTACAGCATTAACTCTTATTGCTCCAAAATTCTAAGTCCAATACAATCATACACACACACACACACACACACACACAAAATAATAAAGTGGCTACATATGCGGGTGCACACACACACAGAGGTTTGTATGTGCCAAGAGAGCTCCACAGGAGTCTGCACCAACAATTTTGCAGACTATACGATGTGCCCAGCACTCTGATGTAAATATCCCACAGGATGCCTATTCGTTTGAAGAGTAATTGTTAGGTTGGAAACCGAGCATCAGTTAAATGCCAGGTATGTACTGAGAGTGGGAGGGAAGGATGCACAGTGTTCATTTTCCAGTGGGTTGCTCAAGGTATTGCAGAATTTTGCAGATGATTTCTGCATGCCCATTGCCACGATGCTGATTCTCTCACACCCTCACTCCCTCTTTGACCATGAACACAATCAGCTACGTCACTGACCATGGCCATCCTAATCCACTTGCCATCAGGAAGTTGCTAGAGATCCATGATTGCCCCCCAGTGATTTGTGCACACTGAATCTCAGAATGCTTCCATGTGGAAGGGTGTGGGGAGAAAGTCAGAGAGGAAAATGCTTGACAACTTGGGTTCACTTCTCCCTCATCCTCCTTAAACAAAGATAGAAAGGCAGACTTTGGATATGGTTCTCAGGGTGCAAGTGTTGAGGGAGAAGTGCAGGCAATTGGTGACTCAAAGATGCCATTGGGAATTTAAAATCATTTTAAGAAATTACAGTAATACAATTATACAATCATAATTATATATTGTATAACTATAATAACTTAAAAACCATCTTAAAAGACATATATATATACACACACCCATGAGTAGGTGTATATTTATAAATACATATAAATATATTTATATCTATAAAATATCTATATTATATATAATATATATCTACAAAATAGATATAAATATATAAATATGGAGAGAAAAGCAACTGATGTGTTTCTCATGCTCCATACTTGGGCATCCCTACTCCAGCCCACACCTTGCTGTGTTTGAACAGTGATCCTTCTCTGTTAGCAATTTGATGATTCGCAGACAGTGTAAGGTTGAAGAAAAATGGCTTTACAGGCTGGGGGCAGTGGCGCATGCCTGTAATCCCAGCACTTTGTGAGGCTGATGGGGGTGGATCACGAGGTCAAGAGATTGAGACCATCCTGGCCAACACGGTGAAACCATGTCTGTACTAAATATACAAAAATTAGCTGGGCGTGGTGGCGCGTGCTTGTAGTCCCAGCTACTTGGGAGGCTGAGGCAGGATAATTGTTTGAACCTGAGAGGTGGAGGTTGCAGTGAGCTGAGATCCACCACTGCCCTCATGGAGACATAGCAAGACTCCATCTCAAAAAAAAAAAAAAAAAAAAGAGAGAAAGAAAAATGACTTTATAGTTTAAACTCAACAACAAGCTATTTAGATAGTAAGCTCCTTGGAAAAGTTAATAATTTGTGGATATTGAATATCTTTGTTGGATATTCTTTTATTTTTTTTTCCTTCCTGAAGAAAGTGTCTTTCACATAAAAGCCAAAATAAATGAAAATAAAGTTTAAAGAAGCCAAGCTGTGTGTCCTCCCTCGGCTGCCCCATGGAGAGAAGAGTTGGGGTTTCCAGCTATAAAAGGTGCTGTCCTTAAAGGGAATAAAATAAGAACATAATTCTAATGACCAGAGAATGAAACCTAGTCACAAATATTAGGGAATATTTAAAATTGAATTTAACAAAAATCGACAAAGGCAACCATTCCAAATTTAGGTCTTTTGTTAGGTTTACAAGTTTAAAAACAATTCATGCAATTGAAGATATACTGGCATAGTGGCAAATAAATAAATCATTTTCAGGTGGGGAAGGAATGCTGGGACATGGGCACAGTCTCAGGTGCAAGACAAATAGGATGTTTTTATGGCTTTATCAACATGACCGAAGTGAAGCATCACAGGAAGGAACCACGGGAGATGGGACTGCAAACACAGCCTGAACCAGGTTGTAGGGAATGCCTGCGCTTCCTTGAACCATGGCAGGAGTTCCCTGAAAGAGTTTGGAGCATGGACGTGCCCTGATAAAAGGATGTTTGGAAAAGAGGAATGCCCTAAAACAGTTGAATTTTAAAGACTCTAAACAAAAACACAGAAGGTATAGATGTTGTGAAGATTGACTTGTGACACAAATTCTAGAATTTCAATAGAAGAGGAATATCTTCGAAGGTTCAAAGAAGTAATCGTAGGAAAAATAAGTTGTAGTAATACCATGCCTGATGGGGTATAGGAATTTATCTAATGTTTTTTTTTTTTTTTTTGGTCTATATGTCACTTACATAATGCATGCTCTTATTACTATTACATCATTGGCTGGGCGTGGTGGCTCACATCTGTAATTCCAGCACTTTGGAATTTGGGAGGGCAAGGCGGGCAGATTACCTGAGGTCAGGAGTTCAAGACGAGCCTGGCCAACATGGTGAAACCCTATCTCTATTAAAAATAAAAAATTAGCCTTGCATGGCGGTGCATGCCTGTTGTCCCAGCTAATTGGTAGGCTGAGGCAGGAGACTTGCTTGAACCCAGGAGGCGGAAGTTGCAGTGAGCCGAGATCACGCCACCGCACTCTACCCTGGGCAACAAGAAAGAAGCTCTGTCTCAAAACAAAACAAAACAAACAAACAAACAAAACCATGGGAGTATATACCAAAACTAAACCCATGTCACACATGAGAAAACTGAGGCACAATAACACTAATTAACAGGCTCAAGATCACACAGCTGTGAGAGGCAGACTATTCTTTGAACCCCAGGCAATCTGCTATCAGAAGGTGCAATAATTGTGCTATGTTTGTTAATACACAATGTTGGTAATCATTCCTATTGGCAGATATTAAATAATCCGTGAGGGCTACTTGCTTATGACTTTAATAACCTTGTGAGTCCAACAGGATAGGAAAGTGATGCTGCTGAGGGAAGCAACTTTCTGAATGGTATAAGTTACTATTTTACAAAATGTTCTTTGAAGAAACATTGGTATACTTTTGGAGGCTTGTCTTCTGACTTAATTCTGTTTTCAAATTAAATTAGAAGAATTCTCGCCAAAGCTTGTTATCTCCTTTCCTATCTGCTCTCTAACACTACCCCTGCTGACCAAGATACCACCAGATCGCTCACATATCACAAAATGTTTCCTTTTCCTTGTTTCCACAGCTGTGCCGGCGGGCTCCCAGTATACAAAAATGGATACAACGTGATATTCAAATGAAAGAATGGATGTGTCAAAGAAACTGACAGAGGTGCTCCAGACCCTGGAGCAGTATCGCGGAGGACATAATGTAATAAGACACTGATATTAAGTAAAGAGCAAGTGCTCAGAAAATCGCAACAGTTAAGTGACCAAAATTTCAAAAATTATTTGAGCTTGATTTCAAACATTCATTGAAAATCACCATTAGAACAATTAAATGCTTCATTTTAAAGAAGTTTTTTTCAATAGTCTATTTAATATTCATTTAAGATGAATGAATACAATGTTTCTTAATACAAATCACTTGCTGTTTTATAAAAAAGCTACTGAAATGGTAATTATAATTGAATTGTCACTTAGATTTTTGCAATTGAACGAAACTAATTAAAATTAAATTAACACAGGAGAAAGGAGTTAATTGATTTTTCAGTCAATTCTTCTGTACAAAGGCAGCTACCTGTGAAATTTGCTGTCTCAGTCTGCTTGGCCTGCTGTAGCAAAGTACCACAGAGAGAGTGGCCTCAACAACAGACAGACGTGGAGGCTAGGAAGTCCCAAATTCATAACATTAACCAAAGTGTCTGTATAAATTAATACATATTCAATATTAGGGAAAGTTATTTTATTGGGGACATTAAATAACTATTTATTTGATTATTTAAAAAACTAAGTAAAATATATAACCTCTCAATCTGCCTATTCAATACAGTTAAATTGGATTCAAATTCTACGGCTGAAGCAACTTGTCCACCTAAATAATGTTGAGCCTACACAATACCTCACATTTAACAGAGATGTTTCTTAACATAATGACTGAAAGTAAAGGTGTATGGCTCTGGTTATTAAAATGCGGACATTGTTGTGGGGCTTTTGAGGGCATTATGAAATTGGGAAAACCATTAATATGCAGACCTCTATGTTTTAGAAGCTTTATTTTAAAAGTACAGAAATAGAAAACAGCTCAACTAAGGAACAGAAACAGAAAATCTACCTTTCTCCTTTAAACCAAGTTCATTGTGTTCTACACAATAAGTAAATCTTGCCCATAATAGAAGTCTATACAAATCAAAATGTGCAAGTCCATATTTACTCACAAAGAATATCTAAGAATTTCACAAAATGGTACTATTTTTAGCCCATGCATTATCCTAAAACCTTTATTTTTACAATTTAGTGCCATTATTGGATTAGCTTTTAAGAAGCAATAGAAACTAACATTTTAGCTTAGAACGTTGTTTCAAATTTTTAAACCCAAAATTAAAGAACTACATAGAATTATATATAGTTTAGTGATATATATCATATATATCACATATCACATGTGATGTATATCACATATCACATATATGTCTCATATATATCACATATGATATGCATCTTACATATCACATGATATGCATCTTATATATCACATGATACGTATCATATATATTATATATATCACTAAACTCTATATATTGGTATTTTTAATGAGATATATTTTTAATATATCTCTCTCTATATAGAGACAGTTTAGTGTTAAACTAGATCTAAATTAAATTAAAATACAGGCAAGATATTTTGTTTTACTATGCCTGTCGGAAATAACTTATAATCCATTCAAAAATTGAAGATAAGGGTGTTGTTGATTTTTTTCTTTTTTTATTTCGCCCAGTGACTTTCTACTTTGTCAAGCAAATAGATTAATACAGTTAATCAACAAGAGGCTATATTTCACTTTCATTCATTTTTTAAAAAATTCTCTTACTAGATATCCATTTAAGGCTTATGCTGACATATATATACAGCCCTTTAACACCCTGAGAAAATTTTTTGTTCAACTAATTCTGAAACGATGTCATAGATGCAATATTAGGTTACAGAATTATAGTGAACATTTATCTCCATCATATGTGCTCTCTAACTTTGCTCCTGCTCTTTTGACCAAAATACTACAAAAAGTCACAAAACATCACAAAATATTCAGTTTTTGTTATTATTCAAAAGCTGTGCAGATGGAATTCTAAATGTCCTAAGCTAATCACGACTGCCCTGGCCACAATGGCTGCTCAGGAATAGGCATGGGACTCAATGTGGGCCAGTGAGAGGAAACCCAGGACTTGTACATAAGCAATCTTGACATAGCTGTTTCCACAGAGCTGCAGGATGTGGGGCTACCACACTGTATGTGATGATATGAGATCAGGAAGCCACCTAGTGCTTTACCCAGGTTGGCAAAACTGAGAGATGTTGAGACTTCAGGTTCTTGTTGATGAGGTTGAACCCTTGATCAAACCTCACCTGAAGCTGTCCCTATGTATGGACTTTATATCACCTTACCAATAAACTTTCATTTTGACTTAAGCCAATGTGGGCAACTTTTTCTCTAACTTGCAAGCAAAAAAGAAGATCCTAAACAATACATGTATAATACAGATGCCAACACATGCCAGAAGAGACGGTTTGAGCATTGAGGTTGAATACCCAAGGTATATATGATATTATTTCTATCATCCTAAATACATCATCAGGTTGAAAAAAACCCTAAAATGAATAAACACAAATAATAAAAAACTTTCCACCTCTTTCACTGAAAAGTGGCTTGATAGAAAAATAGTTCTCAGCTCAGACGCTCACTAGACATTCCATTTAAGGTCAGACATTTATTAGGGAGGTTAAAATGGCATGCTTCTAACTCAGTCGACATTCCTTAGGCATCACCTGCAACCTTTGGTATGGATTTGCCTCTTTCCTTGCCACAGGCAAATCATTTTTATTTCTATAATTTTAGAGAAAGGAACATGAAGTATGGATGAATCAAATTTTTGAGATGAAAAGAGAAGCTTCTGAGGAAAGCAATTTTCCTCTTTTGGATACACAGAGCTTAGGGATGAGGCAGCCCACTGTAAAGCAGCCGTCAGTCCGAGGAGGGAGACAAAGAGATGAAGACAACCTGAGGCCGGGTGCGGTGGCTCACGCCTGTAATCCCAGCACTTTGGGAGGCCAAGGCGGGCTGATCACAAGATCAGGAGTTCGAGACCAGCCTGGCCAACATGGTGACACCCTGTCTCTATTAAAATTACAAAAATTAGCTGGACGCAATGGCGGGCGCCTGTAGTCCCACCAACTCGGGAGGATGAGGCAGGAGAATCGCTTGAACTTGGGAGGCAGTGGTTGCAGTGAGCCAAGATCGCGTCACTGCACTCCAGCGTGGGTGACAAGAACAAAACTCTGTCTCAAAAAAAAAAAAAAAAAAAAAAATGTAATGGCAAAAACTGCAATTACTTTTGCACCAACCTTATAGAAAGAGCCCTGGTGCTCTGTGGGCCTGAGAGGGCTCCATCTGTCTGCACAAGGATGCTGGGTGAGTGCTGGGTGCACTCTGGAGAGCCAGTGAATGAGGGACTCTGAGCCAGGACAGAGTAGAGGGAGAGTGATTGCTCTGATTAGTAGGGGAAGCACTGACCAGGCTCTGTTACATTGGGCAAATCGATGGCGTTTTCACTTTGGAGAGAGCATTCTGCGAGCTGCGGCCTCTGGGGTTGGTGGGGTCTGGGGAGCTGGGGGAACCATCAGGGGGATGAGGGGATATGGAGGGAGTTGGAGCTAGGAGGGTGGGCAGGAAGAGCCTGACCTGAGAGCTCTGCAGTGGCCAGAAACCTTCAGAACTAGGAGCTAAGCAGGTATGGGGAATGAGAGAGAAATGAAGACAGCACCCAAATGCACCAGAGGGGTTGGAAGAAAAATCAGGGAACTGCAGGCAAAATGCAAAAGACTAAATACAAAAAGGGCCTGTCCAAGGCCCTCCGTTTCCCTGTTCAGTGCAGTGGTTAAAGGCTGAGTTGCAGGCTCCCTGGGTTTGAGTCTTCCTAGTTCTATGTCCTTGGGCAAAGTTTGTAGGGTCTTTGTGTCTTAATATTTCCACCTGTAAAAGGAAACTGTCAATCGTAGGGTTTACTTCATAGAATTGTCATGGGACTAAATACATTATTACATGGAAGGAGCCTGAAGCAGTGGCTGGTCTACCATGCAGTGTTTAATAAATAGTAACTATTCTTCCAACTCTGGTTACTTATTCTTTCATATTTTAGACCGCAGAGTAAAAACTTGAATGACAAGAAAAACAATGTAAAGATAATGACTGTGGATGAAATAGAATAACATTTAATGGGTCTTAATCATTATAATCAGTAGACTACTTACTGTGACATATCTAGATGTCACTTTGATTTCACTGAGTTGGGGGTTTTGCCCAGACTTCAAACAGTCTCAGTTAGGAGTCTCTGGAATAGACTCCAACCAACTCTGGGAACTCCTAATATCATCTACAAAATACCGTATCTTTTTTTTTTCTTGAGATAATATTCAAAATTTGCCTTCCATTCTCAAATAAATATTATAACCACAAAAAAGTAAGATTTTAGGATATTTTAGGATATCTATTTTAGGATAAAAACAGATTGTAAAAATATACAGACACCCGTTTTGGAAAGAGACACAGATGATTTGATTCAAGTTTTTTGTTTAATTTTTTTAATAATGAAATTCTGACTATGTGTCTCTCTGGCTCATTAACATTCAAAAAGAGAGCTTTATCATTTGAGTTACATAATATTCCCAAGCAACTCCAAAAAATCAAAGAGATTCTACACCATGGTAAAATAAAACCAGTTATGCTAAACAAGTCATGCTAAGTGAACAAGTTTGTGTTTTACATGGATTATTACATTTTATCTTCAGACCTCCCCCACCTGCCTCCAGTTCGTTAACTGGTTAAATTAGTGTGGTTCGTATTCTGGACTCCATGGACTCAGAAGACTTGGTGTTAAGGAGAACCTTGGTTAATCTCTCACCTCCCTTTTTTCTTCACAACGACATTAGTCAGTTTTCTGTCACTTTAAAGAACAATTTGTAAGACCCAGAATATGCTGAGCAACATGGCTGGGTTGCTATGGCAGGAACCAGACCTTGTCTGTACAGCTAACTACGAGAGCTCTGGCTGTGTGGGCAACACACCCTATTTAAGCTACGACAGCAGTTACGATTCTCCTTTGCTAAACTTCTTACAGTGGCACAGTTTCCAGATTGCCAATAAACACCGCCCTACCGGATCAACAAGCCAGTACCAGCACGTGAGCCCAGTACTTCATTTCAAGGTACCGAAATAAAAGTTCCTGTTACTCTTTGGAATTCTCTCTTGGATGCCTCCGGAACACACTGAAAAAGCAAATTCAGCATTCAAATGCCTATCATGCCCACTTAGCAGGAGTGTGCAACCATCATCCAATCAAAGGGTACAACTGACAACAAAAACGAAATTGCCACCATCGTTATACCAAGGGACACGTGCTGCTTTTAACCAATATAATTGTCAGAGGTTGTGTTATTATTGCTTGGTTTCTTTCTTTTTCATTGTTTTCTTTTGCTCCAGATTTTTTTTCTCTCTCTCTCTCTTTCTCTCTCTCTCTCTCTCTCTCATATATATATATTTTGCTTCCCTTCATAAATATGCTTGACACATGCTTTGGTTTCTCTCTTGTTCAATCATAAAATTTCAGAGCGGAAAGGGACTTACATTATAGATGAGCTCATTCAAGCCCAGAGCAGTTAGGCAGCTCCCCTCTCCCCTGCTTTGCAGAGTGAGGCCCATACTCTCACCCCCTCGTTCCTTGTCAACAACCCCCGACCCTGTCCCGACCACCCTGGGCTTCTTGCCTGGGCTATGCCCTGCCCCCATGGATGAATGAAATGAAAGCGTGTGACCACCTACCCACACACCTTGGCAGAGGTGCACTCCACACACGGCGGCCCCCACCCAGGCAGGTAAGCTTGGTTGCACCTTCTAAGCGATATCCCGGGAAGCAGGAAAACGTCAGAGAGTCTCCCACACCAAAGTGAAAACCAATTCTTCGGCTGAAGGCAGGGACTCCAGGATCATCACATGGCTCCAGGTCATACTCTGAGGCATGTAGAGACAGAGTAAATGCATGAGGATTTGGGTAAATACACACTGATTAAATAGCAAGAGTAGAAAGGTGCTATTACAAAAAATAAATCTACATATATATTTTCCCCAAACACTTATAACTGTTACGTGCATTTTTTGTCTTGTACTATGTACTGTCTAATGACAAATGACATGGGATTTAGCATTTTTTTTTAATTGACAAGTCAGAATGAGAGTTACTAGAGGCTGGGAAGGGGGTGTATGGAGGGAAGGATAAAGTGATGTTGGTCAATGGATACCAGGATACAGTTAGAAGGAATATGTTCTAATACTTGATAGCAGAGTAAGGTGACCATGGTGAGTAATAATAAAGTGTACATTTCAAAATAGCTCAAAGGCAAGATTTGAAATGTTCCCAACACAAAGAAGTAATAAATGTTTGAGGTGATGGGTATCTTAAGTATCTTGATATGTTTGTCACACATTCTACTCATGTATCAAAATATCACATGCATCCCATAAATGTGTAGAATTATTATGTAACTAGAAGACAAACAGACAAATAGCATATTAAAGTGAGAAAATTTACTTCAAAACTGTCAATTTGAGAGTGTGGAATAATTTCACTGATATTTCTAATTGCTTAAATTGGTTACTGTATCCCTCCCAAAGGTGCTTTTTGATAACTAAGGCATGAAGCATAACATAAAAGCAAAGGCACAGGGCTGTGTTTGTGGAAAGCTTATCACAGCCAATTTCACCTCTAGAATATACCTCAGTGAGGAATAGTGGAATTTTCCTCTGTTTATTTTCAATCTGTAAACAGTGCGAGATTGAAAAGTAGGAGACAAGATTTTGTACTAGAATTACTATCTCACACCTTGCTGTTATTTTCTTTCTATCTAAGGATATACTGTGTACACTCAACTCAAACCATACGTTTCCTGTCATTTCTTTAAAAACAACTGAAAAGTCTTGCCAAATAGGAGAATAATTTGATATTATTATATGCTATACCTATTATCTTATATAAAGAAACACCATGATCCTGTGGTTCTTTGCTTTGTGTATATTTTTACTCCATAGTTTATACAATATCCTCTGAAAGATACTTACAAGGACAGAAAGCCTGAAACAATATCATGAGGTTAGAAGGTGTGTATTAGTTGTAACCATCTCGATTAGGCTTTGTAAGGATTCTCTTACATTAATTGTCACTTAATCGCTATTATACAAAGAGTATTTACACTATGTACATGTTCATCTTCATCTAACCCAAGAAAAGTGTATTGTCCTCAGAATTCCATCTTCTCACCTACTCAAACACTTTGTTCTTGGAGTTTATCCTTTTTCTTTTCCTCATCAATTCTCTTATTTCCATCAAGATAAAAAATACATCAATCTTAAGAATGAGGTAAACAACCAAACCAACCAACAAAACAAACTAACACCACCAATCTCTGGACTTCACAGTCACCCAACCACCATATCATTTCTCTGGTTATCATTAGCACAAACTTTTCAAAGTGTTGGGTGTATCTTCCATTTTCCCAACTTCCCTTCCAAGCCTCTCTTCATCTCATCTCTTCAGGTTTTCCTTCACAGCCTTCCATTCAAATACATCTTACCAAAGCCACAGTGACCTCCAGATGCAAAAACCAATGGTCAATTCTTAGTCCTTCTCTTACTAAGTAGGTTTTAAAACAGTTGAATGCTCTCTTCTTTCTTAAAAGGCTGTCCTTTCTTAGCTTATGGGATGCCACTCTCCTCCTAACTCACTGGACCCAACTTTTCAATTGGCTGATTCGGATCTTCTGCTGCCCCATGTGTTGAAATTAACTCTGCTGATGGCTTTCCAGTATTTCTTTTTCTTTAATATGATCCTGTTATATGAACTGAAGACTCTTGTCAGTTGCTTTCGAATACATCCCTCAATATCCGCAAGAGAAAAAGTCTGTATTTTCTTCCCAAACCTGCTTTACTCTTAGTGTTTTTGATGCAAAGCATAGCATCCTCATTCACGCAGGTTGAAAACCTTGACCCCACTCTGTATTTTATGCCACACCTTCGCTTCCTACCAATAAAATCAGCTCTACCCTAGCATCCTTCCTGTAGTCTGAGCTTCCATCTGGCATCTCTTGCTGGGATTGTATAACATGTTCCTGTTGAGACTCACACATTATCTTTCAAATAACATTGAAAAAAGTCAGATCATGTCAAGCTCTTCAAATCCATTCAATGGCTTCATGCAACATTCACAATTAACATCCAAGTTACTTATGTTATGTGCCCTCCATAACTAACTTCACATCCTTCCACCTTCCCCTCAGTTTCAGGGGTTGGTCTGGCCACAGTGCCCCTCTTCTTTATCCTAAATTTGGTGGCCTGGTCCTCCTGTTGCACCTCCTTCTGCTGATAGCCCACCCAAATTAGCTGGACTGTCCATTCTCTGCTTCACAATCAAGTCTCAGCCTGTCAAAGAGACCTGCCTAGGCAATTAAAGAATGAGTACACTCTCCTCTGTCCCAGGTCCTCATGACTCAACCACAGAAGAAGAAACATTTCAAATGAATATCCTCATTTGAAAATTCATGGTACCACTGAAGGAGGCAAATACAGAAAAGTAATTTTGGGAAATAAATAATTTTGGTGTGAAAACATTGTCATGGAAACGTTTTTCTCCTATGTTATACAGAAGAAAACAAATTCCGCGTAGGGAAAAGAAGAAAGGCTGCATGTCAGAGACACCCTCTGACATGGACAGGAGGAGTTTTGTCTCACGAAAGACGCAGAAAAGGTTTTTTTAGGGGAAAAAAAAAAAAAGTCTCGCTCTGTCACCCAGGCTGCAGTGGCACCATCTCAGCTCACTGCAAGCTCCGCCTCCCAGGTTCATGCCATTCTCCTGTCTCAGTCTCCCGAGTAGCTGGGACTACAGATGCCTGCCACCAAGGCTTTTGAATGAAGAGAAAACCACATATGTGAAGTCACAAAGTTATCCAAGTTTTAACCTTTTGAAGAGAATGACTGAGAAATGATGCTAATTCACTAGAAGTTAGCATTCAAGTAGTAGACACATCGTAGCGGGTGGGAAAGTAAGTGTGGAGTATCCAGTGCACACAGTTAGCAACCAGTAGCAGACAACGTTATGTAAAATGGGGATTGCGCAGATTTAGCTAAACCAACTGGAATATGGGGCTCCTTTTTCTACAATGTTACCATTAACATCTGCAGAAATACTGACTAGGAAACAAAATCAGGAAATACTGCTTTATTAAGGCCTTCTGAGAAGGGCAGAAATAAACTCGATTACCAGGAAAGAAGGCAGATATAAAAGCATCTGAATGCCATTCATGATAAACAACAAAGTCTCTGGATGGGTAAATGCTTCATTTGTATGATAACGTTGCTTGTTATTTGTATACTTAAAAAATAAACTCCATGGTATCAGTGTCACTAGCAATTGTGTGCAGCCCAGTTTCGAGGCAAAAATCTTTCCAATTGAAATTACTCCTCTAACATATCTAAGGAACTTGTTTACCTTAAAGTTGGCTTTGCAATCAAAAGTGTTATTTTTTTTATTTTTATTTTTTAAAAACCTTTCTGCTTGTGTGCAACTGTCTAGACGGAATTGATTTCTTCTGCAGGTTTTAGGTATTATTTTCTACTGGTTATATTGAGATGAATTGTTCTAAATGTTTACAGACTGTTACCACTTTAAAGATCCATGAAAGAGTATGTGGTTGTTGGCTTGCTTGCTTGTATAAGTAGTTTATAATGAGAATGTCAGTTGTGTAGTTCAATTCTGACTTTTGGTTATTTGTATGGTCCGAGAGTGTTACCCAAAATCCATGTGCTGGAAATTTGATCCCCTTTTTGGGGATGTTTATGTCACGAGGGATCCACCCTCATTAATGGATTAAAGCCATTATAAAAGGACTTCTGGTCTTCTACCACATGGGGACATGGTGATCCTCCCTTTTTGGTCTTATATCCTCTGCCATGTGATGACACAGCAAGAAGGCTCACCCCAGACGCCAGCACCTTGATCGTGGACTTCCCAGCTTCCAGAACTGAGAAACGAATTTCTATTATTTATAAATTACTTACTATCAGGTATTCTATTATGGCAAGTGGCACAAACAGACTAAGACAGTAGTCATCAAAAGAGTTACTGTCAGCCCTGTGCTAAGGGTACCGGAATAAGAAACTGATGCAGTAAAATGAACAGAGTTTGCGTAGACTCCTGAGAAACACCTGCAGAAGTGAACAACAGACTTGCGTTGCTGCCATTTTCTTTTTTTGGAGAAGTCTATTTAAATTCATTTTGGATCATGATGAAAGTAAGAACAGGAGGAAGTGATATTCTCATAGTGATACTAATTGCGATACACCAGGGGAGAATGCACAGAGAGAGGGATTTAGGAATTAGTGTTGGAAAGATTTAAGTCTTTGATATATAAAGTGGCACGTTTCATGATTACTGCTGATTACAACAAATTTCCAAGAACTCAAGTGGTCTGAGCCAGTCTTGAAAGCTTCACGTGAGCAGTGAAATACCAAGAAAAATCAGCAAAGTCAGATTAAGATAAATGGCAACTAGGTAGAATTACAGGGAGGAGAAAATAGTTCAGAGCATCTTGAAATCCCCAAGAAATATTTTCCTTGAAGACACTATTTTATTTTACATAATGCTACTCATCATGCAGTAGTTAGTAGGCAATCGTGAAGTTCTTCTTATAGTTGGCTCTTGAAAAGTGTGGGTTTGAACTACTTGAGTCCATTGGAACATGAATTGTTTTCAATAAACATATTGGCAATTTTTTGGAGATTTGCTACAACTTCAAAACACATGCAGATGAACTGTGCCATCAAGACAGATCTTAAAAATTAGTTAAATGTTAGGTATGTCATGAAAGCACAAAATATATGTAGATACTAGTTTATTTATGTGTTAATTGACTGTAGGCCTTTGGTCAACAGTAGCCTATTAGTAGTTGAGATTTGGGGGCGTTAAGAGTTATACTCAGATTTTCCACTGTGCGGGGGTTGACACCCCTAACCCACTTATTATTCAAGTACAGTTGACCTTGAATAATACAAGGGTTAGAGGTGTCAATCCCCATATAGTGGAAAATCATCTTACTTACGAATAACTCATCTTACTTATGAGTAAGATACAGCAGTAGAGCTGCTGTTTATATAAAAGTGGGGCAAGCAAACTTTCTACCAAGATTTTTAGTTTTAGTCTGGGGGATAAGATACATACTCAAATATTGCAACACATAATCTCATAAGTGGCATCAAAAGTTATTAAGGAATTTCTGAGATCTCAAAAGTAGAATAAATTACATGTGACTGTGGTGCCCAGGGACCATCTTATGAAAATTACATTTGATCTGGGCTATGAGGAATAAAGAAGGAAAACTCTCTTTGTCCAAAGCATCATATGCGCAAATGCAAGTTAATGTGATTGTTCCTATCCATTGGCAGCAGGGCCCTTTCTGTTGGCAGAGGGTAGGGGCGTGCTGGAAATGAAGATATTGCAGAGGTTCTGAGTGTGACCCATTCACACTCAAATGTGACCCATTCACATTTTGTTTATATGACCATGTTTATCTCTCACATGTTTGGTCAGCTTTTAAGTGGGGGTAATTTTTTTTTGTATCTGTAAAAAAAAGAGCATCTATGTCATAAACTATACAAATTAAACAAGCTAACCCATACAAATAATTTCTGCTGTAATATAAACCTTGTGAAAATATTATCTATATATTATCATTAAAAATAATGATGTTACCTAACTTGCAGTATTTTTTGTCACTGCATATGAATACATGAAACTATAAGCTCATCCTCAACTGTGTGTGTCCACGTGCTTCTTTCATCCTAGAGGTGGTTGTCAATGCAAATATTGGCAACTATGAAGGGTAGAAACCAATGCAATCAGGTGACAACTGACCCTGAGGACGCCTCCCAATGAGGAAATTTCCTCAGAGATCTTGTAGAGTTGGTGAAGAGAATCGAGTAAGGAGGGCTTTGCAGAAGATAGTGACATTTACAGATTTTTCAGAGATGAGAATTCACAGATTGTGTAACACAAAGTGGCATTTTCTGGATGCCACATAACTGTACTTGTGCCCTGCTTTGTGAAGGCTCAGCTTCCTGCACCCCATTGGTTGGAATCATGCCTGCAGTCACGCATGCACAAACACACACTCATGCACACATTACACACACACACACTCACACACATTCTCACAAAGAGAAATAGCAGTATTGTTGCCATAGGAGAGAAACAGCAAACAAGACCAACATACCTGAAAACGTGATGTTGAAGCCCTCGTATGAAATTGAGAAGTCTGATATAAACCGAAGCTGGGCAGTGAAGTTTCCAAACAAGCCTGCCTTGATCGTATGAGGTAACACTGACCCAGTGAGCCTGGCGACGGGCTCGGAGAAACTTCCGTCCTCTGTGATCAGTAAATAGTCGTGGGAACTCTCAAGATGAAAGGTGTGAAAGATCATCTGAACTCCTGAGAAATGAAGGGGAGAGAGAGAGAGAGAAAGAGACACGGAGGGCAGAGAGGGAGAGGGGCAGAGAGACACAGAGACAGAGACAGAGATGAAAGAAATGGAGAGGAAGAGGAAATGACAGGGGAAGACAGGTTCCAGAGAGTAACAGCCACAGAGACAGAGATGATAGAGAGATGAGACAGAGATTGAGAGAGAGGTAGAGGAGAGAGAGAAAAAGAGAGAGGTTAGGAGAGGTAACAGTTGCTGAAAATTTTTTTCTGGACTTAGACACACCAAGCCTTAATCAAAATATTAAAATGTTTTCTTAATATGTAAGTCTAGCTTTGAAGTTCAAGAGGAAAATGGGTGGAAAGAGGATGGCTTTAGAAATGAAAAAAAGCAGAGGGGATAAACAACAAAAATAAATACTTAAGTGCATATAAGTACAGATATGACGTAAATAGGAAGATATGATGTGGATACGAATACTGAGGTAGATAAGGAGATTATAGATGTAGCGATATATAGATACAGATATAGATGTAGATATTGGCATAGATATGGATATTTAAGAAAAACAGGTGAGAATGTTTACAATGGGCTTCATTCAAAAATTGTCAGTAGGCTCTTAGGGACAGTATTTGTCCCTGAGGGACAAAGGACCAGACGATTTTTCAATTTACACTAAACAAGTGTCCTTTAGAAAAATCTTAGTTGGAGGTCTGTATAAATGAGGAAAAACTTCCTTAAAAATGTAGTTTCAGATGCCCCTAAAGCATATGACCTCATAGTAACCACAACTACAAAGTCTTATTTCTGGATTCCTATAGTGAAATCAATAAAATTAACTGTGAATAGATACCGTCTAATAAAAATGTGTATTTTTATGATTATAAAACTTTGGTCACTCATAATCTGTGCCTCCTTTACGCTCAGTTTCCTTCAGAGCAACTTCTTCTTTCCTGTCATTCATGGTAGCATACATAGTGTCACACAGTATACATAATAAAATGTAGCCATTTAATATTAACTAGGGTTCAAATCTATGTGAAAAGACAAAGTCTACATAACACTTATGTGATTGAAATTTCAAACAGACTCTTTTGTATTTTATTTTTTAAAATAGAGTCTCGCTCTATCTCCCAGGCTGGAGTGCAGTGGCGCAATCTCAGCTCACTGCAACTTCCGCCTCCTGTGTTCAAGCCATTCTCCTGACTCAGCCCCTACAGTAGCTGGGATTACAGGGATGTACACGATGCCTGGCTAATTTTTTTTGTATTTTTAGTAGAGACAGGTTTCACCATATTGGCTAGTCTGGTCTGGAACTCCTGACCTCAGGTGATATGCCTGTCCTGGCCTCCCAAAATGCTGGGATTACAAGCATGAGCCACTTCACCTGGCCCCAAATAGACTCTTAAAAATGACAAGTTCAGTCACAGGAAAAAGAGTCAGGCTACGATCCTAAACCTAGTGATTATAATCTACATTTCCTACACAAAGTGCAAAATGTCCTGGTCTTCACTATGCTTATGTATAATTGAGGATAGAAATATCTATTCCATGAGACATCTCTGGATTATGTGAAGATAAATTATTCATTATGTGTGATGATACGGGGTAAACATAAAATACAAGGAAAGTACAAAAACTGTCCCAGATTTATTATGGAAATTAGAAGTTAGACAATCACTTATTTCCTTTTATTTAATTGTCACATTTTATTGAATAGATGCGTTTATTCCTTACCACGATACCTAGATTTCAAGCTTTTATTCACATGCATATATTCAGGTTATCTGATAAACAGAGAGCAAAACAAGGAATCTGTTTTTATTATACAGTTGAAAGACTATTTTTTCTTCCAAAATCTTATTAAATAATAAGTCAAAGTTTTGAACTATACATGAGAAAAGTAGTTATCTCACTTGTTTATACTGTAATATGTTTTCGGTTTTGTTCCCACGTTTCTGTCTCATTTACTTGTTGGTATGTTTGAGACCTATGATAGATTCTTACCTTTTCCGTGAGACACTTCAATGGTCCACGTGCAGTTTAGAGAGTTTGGATAAAAATCTGGAAACCCAGGAGAAAGGACTGTTCCACTCTTTCCATGGATGTAGCCTCCACACAGGGCTTAAAATAATAAAGAGAGATGGTTGTAGCACTAAAGTTTCACAATGATTGCCAGAACAAAATACTGGTTAAATGGCATGGAATTTGCAGGAGGCTTAACAGATCTAATGTCATATGCAAGAAAAACCAAGTAAAACCTGAGCTTTATGTTACTTGCAAATATATTATGCTGGTTCATACGTAGGCATCTTAACCACTACAAAACCTTGACAACATAACACAGAATAAAGCACAGCCGGAGAACGGGAATCTGCATTCACAAGCCTCAGAATTGCAGAAATAGTGCAGGTTTGCACTCCTGAGAGCTGCTGGTCTCCTTCAGCACCTCAGTGAGTTCCAATCTCCTGAACAAACCATGCCACGTTCAAACACTCACTTCAGACACTCATTTTGGAAGAAAAGAAGAGAAAGTTTTATGTAATCATTTCAATGGGAAAGTGGCAATAATTAGGCTGTCAGCAGAATATGGGAGCTTAAGTGCTCAACTCTGATGTCAGGAAGTTATGAGTTCAAATGCTGGCTCAGCTACTCACTAGCTCTGTGATCTCTGGTAAGTCTCTCAATCCTTTACATTTCTCCTATCTTGAAAACAGAAATTATGATAAAATCCATCTCATGGATAGGTGTTTGCAATGATTGCCATTATAGAACACAATTTACAGTGGGTAATAGATACTAAATGATTAAAATGGTACCTACTGATAGATACTGATTTAAACATTACCTACTGAGAGCTGCTAACAGGAATTCAATTCTTAAGACATGAATAATTTAACATTTTGAATAGACTCCATATACCCTAATTTTACAAACATCAAGAGGAGAATATTGACATGTTCCCACCAACTTTCTCCTTTTATTTCATATCTTAAGACCTCTCAAACTATCCTCTGAATGGAAGCACTGAACTGAAAAAGAATAAAAGGAAATGGAGTCACCAGAGCCAGACGGTAGAGGCAGGAAAGGCAATTGCTATTCATGCTCTGCAAACAAACAGCCACGTGTCTTGTGAGTCACCAAGTGCTCCGGGTCTTGCCCTTCTCCTGGAACCTGTCCACCTGCAGTTGTGAGGCCTATGGATGCCACCAGCTCAGATCTCAAGACCTGGCTGCCCACCCTCACTGCAGCACCTCCACCGTAGTGGTGAAGGTTATGTGCCGGCATGACTGGGCTAACGGCTGCCCAGATAGCTGGTAAGAGGCTGGGCATGTCTGTGAGGGTGCTGCTAGGAGAGATTAGCGTTTGAAGCAGTGGACCGAGTGAAGATTTGCCTTCACCAGTGTGAACTGGCATCATTCAATCTGCTGAGGGCTTAAACCGAATAAAAAGGTAGAGAAAAGGCTGGGCACAGTGGCTCACACCTGTAATCCCAGCACTTTGGGAGGCTGAGGCAGGTGGATCACCTGAGGTCAGGAGTTCAAGACCAGCCTGGCCAGCATGGCAAAACCCCATCTTTACCAAAAATACAAAAAATTAGCCAGGGATAGTGGCGGGAGCCTATAATTCCAGCTACTCAGAAGGCTGAGGCAGGAAAATCAATTGAACCCAGGAGGCGGAGGTTGCAGTGAGATGAGATCGTGCCATTGTCCTCCAGCCTGGGGCAACCCCAGAGTGAGAACTCCTCAAAAAAAGAGAAAAGAAAGAAAGAGAACGAGAAGAGAGAAGAAGAGAGAGAGAGAGAGAGGGAAGGGAGGGACAGAAGGAGAGGGAGGAGGGAGGGGGGAGGGGTGTGGAGATA